TAATTTCAATTTATATTAAAAATACCAGGAAGTGAAATCCAAGGCACAGAATTAGTGAGGCAGATGTAGTACAAATATAAAATATAGAAACTTTGTTCTTGCCATCCTGATCTTCACACTTTTTAATCTATGTTTACCCTCCTTATTCCAGTTAAGAACATTTGAAAATAATTTAAGCAACGGAGAAAGAGTTTATGCTAAGAGATCAGAAAGGCAAGAAGAGAAGACATGACAACTAAATGTAATATGGTAAACTGGATGGGATCCTAGAACAGAAAAAAGACATTGGGTAAAACTAAGGAAATCTGAATATTGTATAGACCATAATTTTTTTTAAATGAAGACAAGAACGTCCTGAATCGAGCATTATACCTCATGTTACAAATCTGTATTATAGATGATTTAGCACGCTGTTACAAGCCACTTCAGATTTTAGTAAAAGCTCTTTCAAAGATTCAACAAAAAAGGAAGAGCTCTACTTTCTGCTATAGTTGCAAAAAATGTTATAATAAAACATATTTATTCTTCTATTATCTGTTGCCTTCTTTTTCACATGACTCCAGTTAAGTTACAATGCATACATTATAGTATGAGTAATTTTATTGCCCACTATCTACAATCTTTTTAGGAAGTAAGACCATGTTTAAATAGTTGGCAAATGTGACAGTGATGGAATATCCACTTCCCATCTAAGAGCAAAGACCATGTTTTATGATTCTCTAACTTACCATTTCTATATGTCTTTCTTCACTTCTTTTTTTAGAGTTTGTCTTGTCCACTCAAGCCTAAATCATATTCCTGGTATACAGTTTTTTTAGATTTCAAATACTTCATCTACAAGAAAAATAAAAACAAGTTTCCGTGGTGGAACCCTATCAGAATCTTTTAAACTAATTTGGGATCTACTCAGATCTGTAGATTATGCTTTACATTAAGAAGCCAGCCTGGACTATAGATTTATTCAGTTAGCCCTCTGAATGACTCCATCTGTTCCTCTTCAGTGGAATCTTGTCAACTTTCTCTTCCGCCTTCTTGAGGTTAGGTATCTCCAGCAGAGAGAAGGGATGTCAGAAAGGGAAAATATCTATTCTTAAACCAAACTATACTTGACTTTGTTGTTTACCTTTGGGTCCATTCTGTTCCCTGGTTAGTAATTTGATTTGATGAAGCCAACTGTGTTCCTTCTCAGTTTAGCAATCCAGGGGGTTGTGGATGCAGAAAATAAACAGTAATATAATAAGAAAATAACCAAAGTATCAGCAAAACAGATGTAGGTCACATGTTGATTTCTGTTGATGTTCTCGTTAATCACAGCCACTTCAAAAAGCCTCTCAGGGCACATTTCTGAACACAACCACCAAAAAATAATTTCCTAATGTCCCCAACAAGAAGTAAATGCTCTTCTTTATGGTCTCTCTTAATAATACTGCATGCTCTTAAAATTGCTTCATGATTTCTGCTATTGATTATAATCATTTATGTCTATTCACTTTAAATATGAATGAAAATTAATTTAATTAATTCATATATGAACTATTTTGTTAATCTTATTTAGGTATAGTATGCAAATCAAAGTTAGAATGTATCAAGCTGTCATCCATGCCAGAAAATTAAGAGGTTGAACAAATTTTTTGAGGCATTACAAATCTTTTTATAAAGCTTAGAGGAAAACATTAGTAACCAAGCAACCCAGATAAAATATTTTTTAGTCAGGCACACTTAAAAGAAAAAAAAAAAGATGAGATGTATGCTTTAAAGGAGAAATTACTGGTAATTATAACCCACTTTAAAATAAGCAAAATTGAATCTCAGAACCCCCATCTGTCATTCAAGCACTTACCAAAGTTCTGCGAAGGAGTCAAAACTATGTGAGACTCAGCCCTTCTATTTAACACACTTTTCCACTGATGCAGAAGATAAAATGGAGAACAAATAATTCTCTGCACAGGGTAGAAGGGGAAATCACTTGCTACCGTAGTGGCTCGGCTCAAAATAGAATGCCTTTTCAGAGTAAGACCTGCTTTACATTCAGCTTGAGGTAGCATGTGAGAAAAAGACTTCAAAAAGGAGGAGCAAGTTGCGTTCCACCTTGGGTAAGTATGGTGCTCAGAACCGACTGAGGTAAGAGAATGCTGTGTGCGGGCGTTTGCGTGTGTGTTTGGCGGGTGTGTGTACCTGCATCCTTTCATGATTTATTTGCAATATATATTCTATTTTCCCCTTTGGATTCAGGCTTATATTTCCTTTGGAAAATGATCTGAAGGAACTACAGCAGAGTACTCTTTCACACTTGACATGGAATTCACTTGTCCATGAGGAACCATGGAGAAAGTCAGCAGGTCTAGGAGGAGGAAGGTCTGTACTGTATCACGCAGCTCTTTTACCCAGCTCTGGTACAAGTGATTATCTCAGTCTGGCTGTTTCCTTGAACCAAAGCCACAGATGTGTTCAGACCGCACAAGGAATAATAGAAAATGGTGACTATTCAAAACTTTAAATGTAAATATGTAAACGACATATTACCATTATTCCCAAAAAAGTACTACCCCTTAATTCAAATGTTCTTGACACTTTCGGAAATAGGAAGCAGTTCTGGAGGTTCTCTTTTTGGGGTGTTGTGACTGCTTTGATGTCTTCAATCTATTCAAAATGTTGACTCTCCATGTTTATTTTGACTTTGGAAAAGAACCATAATTCATACAGTGCCAGGTCTGGTGAATGAGGTGAATGAGAACACACCGTAACATTGTCATTAAGTCTACCTTCCATGGAAAGATTCATTTCTTAGTCATGCTACATAACAGAAAAGACTTTCAGAATTGTTTTTGGAAAGTGACGACAGCAATGGAATACTGTTTTCAAAGTGAGGAGGAACATTCTGAGGGGGATTAGTGGAATAGTATCTTTACTGTAATAATTTTTTTAGTTTGAATATTCACCATATAATGTGATCATACTTTGTATATCCTGGGCTTTTGACTGAGTTCAGATCATTCCTTCAGTTGATCTTTAACTGATCCTTTGATCAACCGTTGGATCAGTTAAGAATCTTTTTTCGAGCACTCTTCACTTTCAGTTCTAATAAATGTTTCACCCTCCTACCACAGCCTACCTGCAAGATCTAAGGTAATCCCATTGTTACAGAAAGCCATCATTGGTGGATTCTCTGTAATGTGGTTATTTTAGTAAATAGTTCAATAAGATGTATCTCAAGTTATCCTAATTTGAGCATGCCATAGTTTTTCTTCTGGAACACTAACTGATACACATAGTAATGATTAAGAGAGGGACTAGATAGTATAAAAACTTGGTAGAATAGTAATACAGCAAACCTATGTATTAGGGAAATAAAAATGTTAACTCTGTATTAACTCTAAGAAAGTAGGATATTGTACATGTTCACCCCAAAAACTGAATGATAGAATGCTCAGTGACAGCCTTGAACATAAATGAGTGTGTTAACCAAACTTCAGTACCTTGCTACCACTTTGTGTATCTTCTCTCATTCCTGAGCTCCAGGTTCCTCAAAGCTCTTTGTTTTACCTTCACACTGTTCTAAAGTGTTTACCTGAAGGGTTTCTAAAAGACAGAATAATTTACCTTGAAATTCATATAGGTCATTAGATCAATTTAAGTATGAAAAATATGAGCATAGGTAAATAGGATAGGAAAATATGAGCATAGGAAATCCTTGGCTTTCATCAGATTCTCAACTTGTCCTTTAAACTACAGTCTCCTCAAACATATAAAGATGCTATTGTTTTCATGTGAATAGTTTGTTAATTCTTATCAAGAGTGGCATGTTGAATATGGTAGACACATAGTATATGTATTTTGTAGTACTGGTTTGTAGCACATCAGATTTCATTGTAGTGTTCTTGAGTCAAACTAGCTGGGTTCAGATCATCAATCTTCATTAGTGACACTAGACACTATTTTATCCTAATCTATTTCATGTTAAGAAAAAAACAACAAAAAGCCTCATGTCAATGTGTTGTTATGGGAACTCCTTGTAAAGTGTAAATCACTATTACCCAATCCAAGAGTATTTTTATTTTAAATGTGATTCTTGCCTTTTAATCTAGGATAGTGAATTTCTCTTTTTTCTTTTTCTTTTTTTTTTTTTTTTTTTTTTTTTTTTTTTTTTTATTTTTTTTTTTTTTTTGTTGTTGTTGTTGTTGTTGTTACCCGGGATCAAACTCCAGTCTGCACTTGCAAGGCAGGCAGCGGCACTACTGAGCTAAATTCCAGGCCCTAGGATAGTGAATTTCTTTTTTTTTTGTTTTTCCTCATTGAGTTTATTGGCACATTTTAGGGATACAGTACAGTTACATTCATTGTTGGGATCTTGTACCTCTACATGACAGGCCTTGGTTCTCATTTTTTCCCCTTGACCCTGCCCTCCCTTCACCCTTCCTCTGCTCCCCATTTACAAACACTTTATTTCCATTTTTTCATTTTCTCATATTTTTTTCTTTTCCTTTATTACCTTTCACCTACCCTTCCCACTTTCCCTACCCCTTTAGCCCTTGAGGGTAGTGAATTTCTAATTGTGGGTCCAGGCATCATTGTTTCATATTTTAGTAAATTCTTTCACATCATATCAATAACTATTAGCTTACGCCAACCCTGAAACTAAAGGTCTTCTAAAGTCCTTCTTGTGATAACTTGTATACAATTTTCAATAGTTTTGTGATTTTTTTTGGAAGTATTTAAAAACTGGATTTAATGCCTTTGAAAATGTTTTGTCAGAAGTAATATTTATTGAGTCTTATGTTACCAGTTTCACACCTATTATATGAAAGGTTTTGAGGTATTTGAAAATAACCTTTATTTTAGTGCTTTGAATCCATTCAGTGTGAATCAGAGACACCAATGTCATTTGTGAAGAATTTTAAATACTTAATGCAGAGCCTGAGTTTGTTATTGTATGATTTTGAGCAATTTTCTCAACTTTTCCCAGTTTCTTCAATTAAATTGGAACAATCATGAGATATTTCTGTGGCTGTCTTTCATACTTTCTTCACACTCTTTCTCCAGATGTGGAAAGCGTCCTTTGGCATCCTAGGGGTGCTTTGGCAAAGAAAAGGCATAAAGAGCTTAAGGTTTTACATTCTGTTAAGAAAAAAGATATTTTCAACAGTGACTGATGCTGCTCCCTCACCTAAAATCGAGTAACTGCTTCTACCAACTTCCAATGTGGGGTCAGGCTGACACCAGCCTAGACTGAGCTCTGTCTAAACTGCATCTGTGTTAGGTTTCCTCCTCTCCCATTTACCACTCCCTTGGAGGATTTGTACGAACTGTTTTTAATAATCACTGGCACAAGGATCATCATTTCATGGTTGCTTCGGGAGAACCTGCCCTAAGTCATACCGTGCCCAGGATGTCATCTGCAATAGACAAAGGTTTCAAAAATAATACTAATGTTACTTTCATTAGCCATAAAAACTAAACTATTTCCAAATTTTCTCATTTTAGGCCCATCTTATAACTCAGAGAATGTAGATCATTACATTTTAGGATTAATTAATTGCATTTACCCAAAGCCGGAACATATTTTTGTGTGTATCTATGGGATACAATGTGATCATCTGGGATATGCATATTTCATGAAATGACTAAATGAAGCTAATGAACATATCCATTTCAGTTTCTTTTAATCTCACTGAGAAAAAGGGGGAAATGGAATACTATCTTGACCAAATAGATACTAAATACCATAACTTTTGTACTACTTATAAAAACCTGCCTTAGTTACTTGCCTTATAGCTGAGACAAAATATCTGTTAGTCAAAGTCCAAAGAGGAAATATTTATTGCAGACACTTCAGTCCATAGTTGGCTGGTTTCAAGGCAGGGTGGCATGGTAGAAAGGCATTACAGAGGAGAAACAGTTCATACCAAGCAGATGGCAGAAAAGTGGTGAATTGTTGAGGAAGCAACAAAGCAACAAGCCGTGACAGCAGACCTCTTTCTGCCCCTTATATTCTATCCCGGCTACACACCCTTAGGGTAGGTAACCCTTACATCCAGAGTGGGCCTTCCCATTATCCACTCCCAGAACTATGCCAAACCAGTGAGTGAACTAATGTCACATACCCTGGATCCCAGAACTACAAACTCTAGATGCAGCAACTCTGAAAAGCCCACCTATGATGGTATGAGGCTTTGGGGGGACACCTAGACACAGCCATAATAAAACTCTCCAAAATCTGGTGACTCCAGCATAATCTTGAATTTTAGGTGATTCTTCCTCTTTGAATTAAGATTAACTTTATAGTTTTGTCTACTGATTAGATAACCAAATGTTGGGCTACATTTCTATGCAGAACACAAAACCACAAGGAATCCTCACGTAAAGACATAAGACAAACTATTAATAGTTGCATAAAACAACTGTGAATAAAAACTCTTAGGTCCTGCCCTCCCAACTGTTGATTTCATATGCTCTTAAGCTTATTACTTTAATCTAATTTGTCCAATATTTCTTTTTTTCTCATTGAGTTTATTGGTACTTTTTAAATACACAGTACACTTACATTTATCATTCAGATCTTGTAGCTTTACATGACGTATCTTGGTTCTCACTTTTTCCCCATACCCCTGCCCTTCCTTTACCTCCTGCACCCTTCCCTATTACTCTTCCCTTTGTTTTAAAGGATAAACACATTTCAAATAATGATAAATTAATCAAGCCAGTCTACTAGCAAGTGTCACATTAAGCTTTAATATGAATCAAAATTTATAGATAAGGACATTTGCATACTATAGTGCTCTGAAGAACCGAACCTTTTATCTTATTTATTGCATTGATTCTGATGAGGAAAGTTTAGACTTGACTTGGCCAGGAGCTACTTTGGGTTCTGAGTTAAATAGCAATTTATCTCATAAGTCTTGTGCCCTAAGTACTTTATTTGGTATTTCCTGTATATTTCAACAGTAAAATTATGGGCAACTTTTATTATCAAGCATTTTCTTGTCTTTTAAACAAAGTACCCATGTACAATTTGTATTAAACATTGTTCTTTTTGTCCACCTCACTGAAAGCTAACTGGCTTGCTGATATTGGACAGGGTGGAAAAAAAATCAAACAACCTTGGCTTAAAACATTAAGAAAAGCAGTTTGAAAACTGAAAGTGTTCCCGAGGCTTATGGTCTGCAAACCATATGATGAGAACCCATAGGAAAAAAATGAAATCTTTAAAGCAGAAGCCGAACTACCCACAGGGTCTTTCTCCTACCCCTACTGCTTTACCATAGAAGTTAGGGTAAACAAATGTGCATTTACTCAGTGTGAGCTATTGTGTTAAACTCTTGCCTGAAGTATCTTATTTAACTTGTGTAAGACAAATAAAAATCTTTATTACTGTATTATAAATTGGCAAATTGAGTTTAACTTGCTCAAAGTCTCACAATAAATAAATAACGGAGGTGAAGTTTCAATCCACCAGTACAAATCTATAGTTTATACTCTTATACATTGTGACATTCTGGTATGTGAAGAAAAATGAAATATTCCAGTGGAAGGAAGGATATTTGATTTACATGAACATTGGACAAAGTTAAGTTAGACGGATCCATCACCTTGCAGTAATTCTACATCATAATATTAATAAGCTTATATAAATTCTTTAAATTTCAAAGTTTCTCTCTTCCCAATGTTATATGAAGTTCACAAAAGGAAGGTGGTGAAATTAGAACTCCTGAAGCTTTGTAACAGATTTCTTATGTTTTCTTCCTTTTACAAATACTTCGTTGGCCTGCGGTTGTTAATACACTGCTGCATTGTTTTATGAGCTGGGTATTTCAATAATTGACTAAAAGTTTAATGAGTCACACAAATTCTCACTACATTTCATAATGACGTTGCTACTTTAAATTATTTCCACTGCACAGCAAGACCATTGGAATGTACTGACAATAGTTAATTTTTTTCCTTTTTCTATTTTAGTTTTTATTTGTTGTGCTACCTTTGTAGTCTAGTGAAAGAAACTACTAAAAGTTGCTAAAAATATATGTATAAACATGTACACAGAATGCAGAGAAATAGCCTGGGAAAGAAGAATACGATGAAATGCATCTTGAAAGGGAAGACAGAATGTTTCTGGTAAATTAAAGTGACTGAATCTAAGGTAAGAGGCAGGAGATATACTTGGAGCCTCAGAAGGGCCGTTCTTCACAAGAGCAGGGATGCTAGGCAACTGATACAGGCTCAATTCCGCTGCCTAATTAATTTTTGGTAGAGAACCCTGGTTTACACACAGTATAAACTCCACCTGTTTCAGTTGTGCTGGAACTATGAAGGTATTGCTTATGTCCATACATGAAAGAGGTATTTAATCAAGGGGCTCAGAATTAAGATTCTAGGCCTCAGCGGAAGAGAGGCATGGGAGATCACAGTGGAGAAGAGAAAGTCTAAGATGAATGTTTCTATGTGACACTGAAGAAGACAGGGACAGCACTGTGCTGCTAGATTAGAGTTGAAGTTGGAAAAATGTCAGTAGCTCAAAAAAGTTGCTTTGGGGAGTTTTGCTTCACTCACCCATTAAGGTAAAGGCAATTTCACCTTATATCCAAAATAACAAAGGAGATGCATACGCATTACATTCATAAAAGAACAACATATACTTAAGGTTCAAGTGAAGCATGGGATTCAGATTCAGATTCAGGTCCTACACTCAGAGCCCAGACAGGCCCCGTTCAGTTATCTGCAGCACCGTCACCAATACCTGAGAACAGAAGCCTCTGAAATTGGAGGCGGAGATCTCTGCTTCAATCTGTGTGCACCATGTGTCCCCACACGGATTTCCAAATGACAACCAGAGAAGCTGAAAATGTTATAAGAACTCACAGAGAAAAGAGGTGGAAAATCCTTAACCACAACATTTTTGTACATTTTTATTTTTTTAATTGAGTTTATTGGTACATTTTAGGTGTACAGTACAGTTACATTCATCATTGGGATCATGTACCTCTACATGACAGGTCTTGGTTCTCATTTTTTCCCCTTGTCCCTGCCCTCCCTTCACCCCCTTGTACATTTTTAAATACCTATGCTATTCTTTTGAGGACAGATTTAAGATTTCTTTGCTTCATCAGTTACTTTTCTACATTTCATGGAGGAAAACACAATTTATTATAAGTTTATAATCTAAATTATTTAGACCATGAAATGCAGATGTTCAGCTAATGGAGTTATACTTTAAAACAAGTTAAGCGTAACTTCAAGTTTATGTAACAAGAAACCTCTTTATGATAAAAGAAAATGAAGTTCAATAGTAGTTCTGACCTATGCAACTTACCAATAATTCTCAGCTTGCCTTAAGAGAATTCCATTTTAGTGGGCTCATGCTCTGTCGAGTGGAGAAATTTCAAAGGTTACTTCTAGCTTAGTACAGTTCGCCCAGCTGCTCTGCATGAAACCGTCTCAGCAGCAAAGCCAAGGAAGCCATTCATACTGGGAACAGGAGCAAGAAAAAATGAAGGCTAGGGGTCCAAAGTAGCCAATTAAAGGTCATTTCCAAATGTATACAGCAAAATGAGATTTAAACACAGAAAAATTTCTACAAAGATAATCATGGTTTAAGTATCTATGTGGTAATAAATATATCTATCTCTTTGGACTCAATGGCTTATGCACAAAATAAAATTTTCTCATTATTTCCTGGCTCTTCGTGTCTTTAAAAAAATCTTCAGTACTGCCTCAACCTAAAGCTGTCTAGCCATGGGGAAGACAATCAATTATATCTCCCCCATTGGACTGTGAGTTTCTTGGAAGATGTGAACTCTCGTTTCCAGTGCTTAATGGGCTAACATTAAAGCTATGTTTCAATTACTGGTTGACCTCAAATGTTCCGCACTTCTTATCTGTTTGACTATTCCCTTTTCTGGTCATCTTTTTTTTTTCCTTCTTCTCTTCCTATTAAATCTTGTACCTGAAGATTCCAACTTACATAGGCCCTTTATTTCTCTCATATATTATAAATTTCCCTCCTTTTATCAGTACACGTTTACATTCATAGTGGGGAGTTGTACATGTTCATAACACAGCTTATTTCTTTTATTTCTCCCCTTCCCCTCCCCTCCTCTCCACCTCTCTCCATTTCTTGGCCCCTTCCCTTTTGCAAAACATGTATCTCACTTAACATTATGGTCTCAAGGTGCATCCATTTTCCTACCAATGACTCTAAACCACCCTTCTTTATGACAGAGCAGTACACCATTGTATAGAAACACATTTTCTTTATCCGTTCATTTGTCAGTGGACACCTGGACTACTTCAATATTCAGCTATCATGAATTGTGCTGCTATAAACATGGGCATGCATGTGCCACTGTCATATGAAGTCTTTGACTCTTTTTGGGAATCTGCATCAAGTGGAATCACGTGCTGTAGTTTTTTAAGGAAGCACCGTATTGATATCCACAGTGGTTGTACTAGTTGATTTCTCACCAGTAATGTAGAAGGGCTCCTCTTCACCGCAGCCCTGGCAGCATTTGTTATTTGATTTCCACATGATGGCCATTTTTTCTGAAGTAAGATGGAATCTCAGTGTTGTTTGTATCTGCGTTTCTGTAATGGCCAGAGATTCACATATTTGCTAGTTGCTTGTACTTCCGAGAAGTGTTTATTTCACTCATCCATTTTTGTTTTATTATTTTTATTTTTTAATTTAATAAATTTTATTAAATTTGATCCCATCCCCCTCAAGCCCAGTCCCCTCCCTATGTACAAACCTTTGTTTCCATGTTTTCCTTCTATTTTCACTTTTATTCTTGTCTCCTCCTTCCTTTCTCCCTCCGTCCTTCCTTGTTCCCCTTCCCCTTTGGATACTTTCTTCCCATTTTCCAACACCCATTATACACTTCAGTCCTTATTTCCACTTTTGGTTTCTCACACCAGAGAAACAATATGGTATTTAAACATGTGTGCCCAATTTATTTCACTTAAGAGTATGTTCTCTAGATCCCTCCGTTTAGCTAAAATGTCTGAAGTTCATCCTTCTTTATGGCAGACTAGTACTCCGTTATATAAAAGAACTACCCTTCTTTATCCGCTCACCAGTTGATAGGCATTTGTGCTGTCTCCAAGATTTAGCTATTACAAACTGTGCCACTATAAACATGAGTGTGCCTATATCAGTGTGGTATGATGTTTTTAATTCTTTCAGGAAAATACCAAGAAGTATAACTGGGTCAAATGGAAACTCTAGTTTCAGTTTTTGAGAAATCTCCACACTGATTCCAGAGTGGTTGCACCAGTCTACATAACCACCGACAGTGGAAAAGCATTCCTTTTTCCCCACGGCCCTGCCAGCGTTTGTTATTGGATGATTTATTGATAGCAGCCATTCTTTCTGGAGTGTGTCATTGTTTTCATATGCCTCTCTTGAATGAACAGTGATGTTGAACATTTTTTCACATATTTATTTGCTGTTTCTAATTCTTCAGCTAAAAATGTCTATTCATTTCATATGCCCATTTTTTAATTGGGTCTTTACATTTGGAGGATCTGATTTCTTTTTTGAGGTCTTTATATATTCTAGATAACTCTCCCATTTTTTGATTGGGTCTTTTACTTTGGAGGATCTAATTTTATTCAAGTTCTTTACATTGTAGCCATTAGTCCTCTATCCAAGAAATAGCTGGCAAAATTGCTTCCTTCTGTAGGTTGTCTCTTTACTCTATTAGTTGTTTTCTTTGCTGTGCAGAAGCTTTTAAATTTGATATGATCTCATTTTTTGATTCTTGATATTATTTCCTGAGGTTCTGTTCAGAAAGTCCTTGCCAATGCCTATGTCTTCAGTACTTTTACCTCTTTTATCTTCCAGATGATTGTGTTTTTGTTTTAACATTTGAATCTTTGATCCATTTTTATTTTAGTTTAATACATGCTGAAAGATATGGATCTAGTTTCAATCTTCTGCATATTGATAGCTGAAAAAAGTGGCAGTCATTTCTAACTATGAGTCAAATATGAAATCCCATGTTTTCTAAGAGATATTTTCACATCTGCCTCAATTAGGTGAATTTTTCTCTCTTATTTAACCTATACGTGTTATTTCAGTTAATTTATTTGACACTTTATAATACTAACTGAAGGATTTGATACATATACCATAGGTAAGTCAAGAGTGCCAACTAGCAGAAATGAGAACGAGTTCTCATTGATCCAAAATAACATAAACTGCATTGTTTTCTTAAATGAAGGTCAAATCTTAATATAGGGAATCACTTCAAACCTGAATAAAATTTACACAGTTGTAAAATCATTAAACAAGCACAAAAGGGGAACTTTAAGTGAATCCCTACAAGCAAAAGTTTAATTTTGTTCGATAACCAACTTTTTTAAGTTTCCTCATTCCAACTTCTCCTTCTGCTCACTCCTAGCTAACATTTTTATTTTACTGAGAAAAATAAGTAATCAGCAGAGAACTTCCATAGGATTCCATGACTAGAATGGCCAGGCTACCTGCCTATGTGCAAATCCCTGTCATTACTCAAGGTCTTATTGAGAAGTCCCCAGTGACCCTGCATAGGACAAGCTCCTCCACTGCTGCGCCAGGCCTCACAGCCCTTTGATTCATTCAGATGCATTACCCCAGTAATTTTCAATACTTCCTCCTCAAGCATTGGTCCCTCAGCTTATAGTGTATTTCTGCTATGAACGAATGTACTGAAATAGCTCCTATCAAGAGAGAAATTGACATGATTTAATATACACATGTGAGAAGTTTATTATGGAACCGTCTCACACAATTGTAGAGGCCCAGAAGTCACACAGTGTGCTTGCTTCCTTCAAGCTGGAGAACCAGGAAAGCGGTTGGTGCCTGAGTTCAGTGCCCTGAGAACAGAGGAGCTAATGATATAACACAAAGTTCAAGGCTGAAGGTCTGACACCTCAGGGTTAGAGAGTCAGAAGTGGAGTTAGGGCCTGCAGTTATTGTAAGTCCTAAAGCCCAAAAGCCTAGCACCAGGATCTCTGATGTCCAAGGGCAGAAGGTAGATATCTCAACTCAAGAAGAGAGAAAGAAAGTTCACCCTTTTTGTGCTTTTTCTTCTACTCAGACTCTCAAACTGTTGAATGATGCCTGCCCACACTGGTGGAGTGACCTTCCTTCTCAATCTACTGACTTAAATGCTGAACTCTTCTCACAGATATCTCTCAGCCACACCTTCACACTCACACAGATGCATCCAGAAATAATTTTTATTAACATGTGGGCATCCCTTAGCCCAGTCAAAATGACGCACAGAATTATCCATCGCTGCATTATCATTCATTTGTCTTTTCGCTTTAACTTAAAGCCCCTTCTGAATATTTCTTCTACTAGTTTTCTCTATGCCTTTGCCCCCATCCTTTCCAACTTGATTTTATTCAGCTTTGACAACTCTACTCCACTGAAACAGTTTGACTTGGAGGTGATGAATGATCTCATTCATTTCAATCCTCTTTTTTGTTTTAAATATATGAGCTGCATTTGACAGTTTAAACCTTTTCTCCACGAGCTTCAGAGAACACAATTGACTTGTATATTTCTAGTCACTTGAAGCCTTGCCTACTTGAGAGGAAAATGACCTCTTGGGAAAACTCCAAGGAAAAGGGCTACAGCCAGGGCTTCACTGTCAACCCAGGTGTTCAACAAGCACACATTTTAGGGAGCAGCATAGGCTCTGAGCTGAGGGAGTACCACCTCTTCCAACTGTAGCAAGAAGATACAGACCCTGGCCTCATCTCCTTAATGAAATAAATTTTGTCTCACTCATTTTCTGACATTAAAATGCTCAGAGCTGGGGAAATAGCCCTCAGACCAATGTAGTCCAAATAATTATCCTCTTTCACCGTTAATTGTTCCACGGAAGGCAAGTACTCTCCTGATTACACAATTTAACAGCCCCACACCCCACTTTCCAGGACCAACACCAAAGGTCTGATATCTGCCTACTCTATCCTTTCATTTTGCCAAGAGTAAAAAATTTGTAAATTTTATTTGGTAATATTTTAAGTAAATGTTGCATCTATATTTACCATAGAATTGGTACAGTGTACATAGTTATAACAATTTTTGCATTGTCTGAGTCAGGTCTTGACACCAAAGACAATGGCATAAAAAAAATCCATTGTAGAACTCACTATCACTATCACTTTGTCAGAAATTAATAGAAATTGGTATTGAAAAGTGGCTAGTCATTTTCTAAGATTACTCTGCTTGAAAATCCCAGCCACATTAATGCACTTTTAAATGAGTGCATAGTATATAGAATAAGGAATTTCACTTTGACGTGCCCATACATGCTTTCTTCATTTCCACACCCCAGTTACCCCTTTGCTGTTCCATGTGCCCTCATTTCCTTCTTCTCCTTTAAAAGTCTCCTTTCTCCTCTCAAGTTGTCAATTTGTTCCACAGATTCCACATATGACAGAAAACACACAATGTCTGTCTTTCTGAGTCTGGCTCATTTCAATTAACATGAGGATCACCAGTTTTTACCCCTTTTTTCTGTAAATGGTATGGTTTCATTTTTCATTTTGGTTCAGTGAGACTCCAGTATGAGTATGTGTACCACACTTCTTTTGTCTTTACCCATTCAAGAGTTGCCTGTCACCTTAGCTGTCTCTATAGCTTAGCTATTGTGAACTGTGCCACAGTAAGCATGGCAACCCTGTACTATGCTCTCCTTAGCTCTTTCTGGAATATTTCTAGGAATTATATGGCTTGTTCAAACTGTAGCAGTATTGTGAGGGTTTGGGGTTTTTTTGGGGGGTTGTGTTTTTTAGCAGCATCCATACCAGTTTCCACAATTGGTATACTAATGTGCCATCCTACGAGAAATGTAGAACACACCACCCTCCTCAGCAGCTTTTCTTGTTTTTTGTATTCTTGATGATAGCCATTCTGGCTGTGAGAAGATGAAATCACAACGTAGTTTCAATGTGCATTTTCTTGAGGGATAAATATAATGAATATATTTTTCGTATACTTATTCGCCATTTGTACTTCTTTTGCCGAGTGTCTGTCAAATTCATTTTCATGTTTATTGATTGGGAGTTTTTTTGGTATTACAAGTTCTGTGATCTTTACATATTTTAGCTATTAATCTTCAGCTGGAGGAGTAGCTGGAAAAAAATTTCTGCCATTCTGGATGCCATCTCTTCACTGTGCTAGTCCTTTGCTGTGAGAAGCTTTGTAATATAATATAATATTCTTGTCAATTCTTGCAATTATTTCTGTGCAACTGGGATCCTATTCAGTGCTCGTGCCTATGACTTGGAGTGTTTCCCCTGTTTTCTTCTAGCAGGGTAAGTTTCAGATCTTTGATTCATATTGCACCGAGCTTTGTACAGGATGAGAGATACAGGTCCAGTTTGTCTTTTACATGTGGATATCCAGTTTTGCATTTGCTAAGGGGCTGTCTTTCCTCCAATGTATGCTTTTCACATCAAACCATAAGGCTGTAGTTGTGTGAGTCTGTTTCTGTGTCCGCTACTCTGTTGTATTGGTCTATCTGTTACTTATGCCCATACCATGCTTCTTTTGTTACTATGGCTCTGTAGTGTATTATAAAATCAGATGTGATAACTCCAGAATTGCTCTTTCAGCTCAGGATGCTTTGGCAATTCTGGGTGTTTTCTCCTTCCACAAGAATTTTTAATATTGTTTTTCTTCTAATTCCTTGAAGAAAGTCATTGCCAACTAGATTAGTCATTTTCTTTGGTGTTGAGACCTAATACCCAGCACCTATAACTTAAAGAAGGAGAGTTTATTTTGGCTCACATTACAGAAGTTTCAGTTCTTTTCATGGTCAGCCAGCTCAATGCAGAAAAAGAAAAAGTGGAAGGGTCTGGTGGAGGAAAACTGATCATATTATGGTACTGAGGAATTGGAGAGAGTGAAAGGAGGAATCAGGCAAGGAGATATATACCCTGCTGGGTCACGCCCCCTTGAGCCCTCTTCCAACCAGACCCCCCTCCTAACGGCGTGTCAGCTAAAACTCCCCTACAACCCACCACCTTCTAACAGCTCCAGAAGGGGACATCCAGAAATAAACCATAACACCAACCACAGTGATGCTTGAGACAATTTTCTTTTTCTCCAATCAAAAGTTTTCTCAAGGCACAACCATTCCCTCAGTATTCGGTGAGGATTTTTAGGAGGCTCAGAATCTTACCTTTGTCTTTGACATTTTATTAACGAATAACCAGATTACATTCTAGTTGACTCTTATTTCCCAATTAAACATTCAGAGCTGTGAAAATGATCCTCAAAGTAAAGTGGTCTGAAGCATTTCTCTTTTCCTGTTAATAAAAATTGTTCTCCTTACAATTTTAAATGTGTCACAAATATCTCCAATAGTGGGGTGAAGGATGGACAAAAGTTTCATCTTTAGAAATTATCTCAATGCTGGGAAAGAGAAGTTGCCAAGCAACGGATTGCTGTACTAACACTAGTGAGGAATGACCCTGAATACTTACTGTATTTTATTTCACTAATGGAGTCTATGGTCTTAGTTATATAAAAATATATTTCACTGTCACTAAATGGAAAAGTATTTCATAAAAATCATTTTATTCTATGTTTTTCAATTTTAAATGAAACACATTTATAATTCATAATAATGTAATCCTCACAAAATAATTAAAGGAATGTTTAATGTAATTAAAAATAACATTTCCTTTGTATTATCCCTCACAAGACTACAAAGTTAAGATTTCTTGAGAGAAAATTTGTAGATTTAACTCTCGGTGAAAATAAAACATAATGTACTGCTTTGGAACCATTCAAAATTTCTCTAGTCAGACTTTCTGGATCACTGACTCCAATCTCACTATAATTTACTTTAGGAAATGCCAAATGAGTGTTATAACTATTCAGTATATCATATTGCACAGTGTCTTCAATCATGCTTCTATTTTATTTTAAATGATTGGAATAAAATTACAGTATAAGCACACTGAAGACTTGGGGTGAAAGACCTGAATTTCATATAAACACTAAAAATCAAATTTAGATACACATTGATGCAAATACACTTTTCCTGGCATTAAATAAATATACCACTTTTCTGTATTTATCAAGGTGACAAAAAAGTGAACTGTATTGAACAGAGTAATTTGTTAATTAATGTCAGATTAATTTATTCATCAAGATGAAATGAGAAAGTTTATTCTTACAGAGATAATATTCTTTTGTCTTAGTTTAATCAGCATGTTTTTCTCAGTATTACACACATCACGTGAAATTGGAATTACCTAATCTTAGTCTGTGTAGAGAAGAGGGCAAAGAACAGGACATGAGTTAACAGAGTCACTGAATAACAACTAAATCAAAGAATAGCAAAGGAATGCCCTGAGCTGAGGAATTATGAGTCAGAATAAGGTAAACTAGGGAAACAAGGTAAATGGATCTGTCCTACAGCCAGGAAGATCTGATCCAGACACTGGAGTGCAAGGATGGAGTGAGAAGAAAGATAGAAAATCTTAGCAGATAAGAGAAAATACAGTTTTAGGGAATTTAGATGAATACTGAAGGTACATGCCTAAGATGGAACATATTGCTCCTTTTTGTATTCATTTGTGTAGATGTGGAATGGAGGAAAAAACAAAGCTTTCCTAACATTAAGATTCACAGATACCAATGGTGATTAGAAGTAAATTCCTATCTTAGGAACAAATTTCTATCTTATTAATAATAACTTCCTGTTTTGTCTGAGGAAGCAGTAAAATTTTTATGTCCCAAAGAAACGCACTGATCAAGATGGACCTTGATGGTCGATATGTACATTAAGTTACCTGGACCACAGAGTAATTCTCACAGGAATTCTATACAGCTCTTCGAATGATTTCCCAAGAGATGGTATGTATTTCAGTAGGGAAACTGCTCGTTACTGCACCATTCATCTGCTTTTCTCCGTTCTTGTCTCACTTTCCAAATGCTTCACGTGTGCTTCCAAAAGCAACACTCCAAATAAACACAAGTCCCTGGTATTATGTGGATTAGACTGCAAGTATTCAAATTAGGCTCTTAATGTAATTAGTGCTCTGAGACAGTCATTGACTTTAATCATTTTTTTTCACTGAGTTTATTGGTTCATTTTAAGTATACAATACAGTTACATTCATCATTAGGATCTTGTTCCTTTACATGACGTATCTTGGTTCTTATTCTTCCCCATTCCCCTTCCTGCCCTTTTACCCCCTCTACCCTCCCTATTTACAAAGACTTTGTTTCCATGTTTTTTACCTTTTCTCATATTTTTTTCTTTTCCCTTTTTTCTTTCCTCTACCCTTCCCACTTCCCCTACTCCTTCAGAAATTTTCTCCCTATTTCCCAATATCAATTATACATTTTTGATCATTTTTATTTTTAGAAACACAGTTTGTTCAAATCACTTGGCTGATCTATAGTTTTTTAGAGTATGTCCACAAAAATATGTATTCTTAAGGATACTTTCAGAATTTAGGCATACATCTGTTCTCAAAAAGTAGGATTCTAATGTCTTACCTTCTAATCTCTTGATGTTAGTCCACATATCATCAATAAATGCACAAAAACTGGCTTCATGTAGGATTAATGAAAATTTGTCAAGCTTTTGAGAACTAGGTGAGTCTAAAAGTATTCCTCTAAGAGTTCTGTAACTATTATGACATCATGGTCAATCTAACTAATATCCTAGACATTTTTTGGGGTTTCAAGGATTCAAGGTATTTAAAAGCGATACAACAAAAGTGGAAATAGAGCACGTGATGAATCTGAAGTAAAACTGAATATTTATTTTATTTGCTTCTGAAGTTGTATGGTTTCTAAATAGACCCTGTCATTTATTAACACTATTTTTATATAATTCTCTATTGTTTGGCTTATTAGAAAATGATTTGGCTTATTAGAACTATAACAAGTAACTATGCTTCTTATCACAACTAAAATTTTGATTACCTTAATGTATAGTTATTTAGCCACATAAGATTATTCATTAGTAGGATTAACTATCTGACAGGCACTGGAAGCACAAACTTTACACACCCTCAAATGCACTGTTGTTTTCTTTTTGTGTTTTTGGTTTTTTGAGACAGGGTCTCACTACATAGCTGAGACTGACCTGGAACTCACTATGTAGCCCAGGCTGGTCTCGAACTCACAGCGATCCTCCTGCCTCAGCCTCCTGAGTGCTGGGATTTCAGGTGTGCGGCCCCATGCCCAGCTCCACTGTTGTTTCCTAAAGTCCTTCATTTTCCATAATTTTTTCTTAACTGTTTCATGAACCAAGACAGATTATGTAAAAGTGCAAATTCCCAACGATGAATGTCATTATATTGCATTCCCTAAATGTACCAATAAAATTAATTAATTAAAATTTTTTTCTTTTGGCAAGTATAGATGATCTGGTAAAATGTAACTGTACACCTTTTGAGAGGGGGGTTACCGGGGATCAAACTCGAGTCCTTGCACTTGAAAGGCAGACAGTGGAACCGCTGAGCCAAATCCCCAGCCCTACTGTACACTATTTCAAAGTGAGTCTTCGGGCTTAAACACGTGCTCTTAGAAAATGCTAAGGAACTACGCTGAGGAACAAAGCTTGCCAAAGCATGAAAATTAAAGGAAAATGTATAAGAGATATGTTAGTTACTTTCTGTCTTGATGAGAGAAAATACCTGACTCCCAAAAGCACTACAGAGGAGAAATAAAATGGTGCACACAAGGCAGCAAAGGTGACAAGAGACCTTCACAGCGTCTCCCTGCCCCTTTTATCTTACTCAGACTACTTAGGGGGAGCAGTGCTCACACGCTTAATCCTAGCGCCCTTGAGCCTACCATTGCATCATAAATCAACTCCAGCTTCACACACTCTAGATCCAACCTATGACCACATGAGGCTTTGAGGAGACAGCTAGACCCAAACCATAACAAGAGCTGTTGGATAGTAATAGTCTTTTCATGTTTTACAAAGCTACAGAGAAGCAAAATCTAAATCACCTTTGTGTTACATGCATCCAACTCATTGAACCTTTTATAGGAGCTAACAATCAAAATATGTGAAATTGTAATTCTTCAGAAGTTATGGTGAAAGGTGCATTTGAATGCAATGAATGTATTGATGAATATGCCGACAGAGAGTCATAGATAATATTTTGAAATTCAAATTATTGAGTTTTGACACTGCAAGTTGCTTCATTTGTCATAAACCAAGTTGTGATGCATTCCTAAAACTGAATAAAAACAATTTGATTTTTTGGTAGAACTAACTTTAAAACAACAGATACAATGTGTAATCAAAGATAAGAATGCATATTTCAAAAATTTTAAGTAATGGAAAAGACAAATAAAAATACCAAATGAGATGGAGCAAGTGTTAAAAAAAGGCCCAAAGAGTATGATATTGGGCATTTCAAAGGAATTTTATTTTGGGGTGGGGATTTAGCTAAATGGTTTTGATGCCTGCCTCTCAAGCGCAAGGACCCAAATTCAATCCCCAATCCCAAAAAAAAAAAAAAAAAGTAACAAAGCAATGCTGTTTTAGTCACTAATGCCATTTTACAAAGCAGCATCACCACTTTCAGGCATCTATTTTCACATATGAAAGAGTGATTTATACATTGTAAGTAGTGGTAACATCATGAACGGGAAAGGAAAACACCTTCAAATAATTTACAAATGAAAGTTTGGGAGTGACAACTATGAGATTTATATTTCTTCTGCAAGGTAAACATTTTTATATTACATTTTATAATGCGAGTTTGCATTTCTAGCTCAAGGCCAAAGTTGACAATTGATAAAGTACTCTCAATTATCATAAGCCATTCTTTTATTGAACAAAATTTTTGAGTGCACAAGACATTTTCAAAACTGTGGATACTGTAAATAGATAAACAGACAAAATCTCTGTATTTGTGGCATGTTCACTCTAGTGAAAAGAGACATTCATCAACAAATGTACGATACTAGGTGAACCTGAGAGGGAGGATAAAATAAACTACAATGAAGATGAGGGAGCACAGGCCAAGCCGGGGAGCAGGTGTTGGGAACCTGAAAGCAGATCTGTCTGGTGGCAAAGGAGGACCAGGAGATGCCACAAAATATTTTATTTCATTTTGCTTTAGTAATTTAATATTTTTTACTTTTTATAGACTTACTGTTTTAAAGCACCCTCATTAGTGAAATAAACTTTATTTCCCAAAAAGCTATTCCCCAGCACCATATGTTAAATAAGTAATCTTTACGTCTACATTTTCTTTTATATTCTCAAATCTATGCATATATTTTCATTTTTAAAAAACACACTTAAGGGCCAGGGATTTAGCTCAGTGACATCGCATGTGCCTCACAAGTGCAAGGTCCTGAGTTCGATCCCCAGTACAAAAAAATAAAACAAAAACAAAAGACACTATAACTATAATATAGCTTCATTTTTAATATGAAAATACTAATTAAAAACATAAATGTTTAATAGTGTGTTTCTTTCAAATGAATCTTACATCAGATCTTCAAATTCCATAAATTGTCTTAATAAGATTGAAATTACACTAAATTAACTTACTAATTTAAAAAGTTAATTCAATTGTAGTAATCATGCATTTTATAGCATTTTTTTTTTATTTTTGCTAATGATTTTGGTATGATACCCTATAAAATATCCTCATGGATTTTAGTTGGATACACACACACACACACACACACACACACACACACACACAATTTTCTGCTTGTTCTCTATTCTTTTCCCTGGTGATAGTTATTTTGGTTTTTGCTTGCCTCTTGGGTTGGTTGGCTTGCTTCTTCTAATCTGGTATTTTTGTTGTGTTTTATTTACTAAAAGCATGCTGATTCTTGTTTGACTGTACATATTTGAAACTGAAGATCTAAATGAATGACTGATAACTGAAATTTATTTCTTCTTCCCAATTAGGGATTCCTAAACTGTGAATGTTTTGTCTCCTCTCTTGGGTGGGATCTGCCACCAATTCTGAGACCATGTTATATCAAGAACTTTATTTTAGACAGAAATCTTTATCTGTCAGTCTTTGGGGCAACTTCATCACGACTCCAGGTCTGTTTCACTTCCCTTCCTATCACCTAAAACCTGCATCACTATTTGGCATTAATTTAGGCTCTGATACACTTAACCCTACAAACACTTTCATATTGTTTAGAATTTAATATCAGGGCTTTATTACAGATTGCACTGCATAGACTAAAAATTCCATTGCCACAATGAAGTAGAGGGTGCCTTAAATCTGGCCAAGTGCCTTAAATGCAAACACCTAATAACTTTCTCAGATGAGCACTTCAGACTTTCTGCTATTTGAATGTGCTGACTGATTCCAAAGCTTTTTTGAGCCTTCTTAAGGATCACAGATCCCTGCCTTCCCAACTATTCTCATGTTACTGTCTTTCATATCTTATGTTTGTTTTTCAGTATATAGCAACACGTTATGCACCCTGATGCAAACAGTGAGTATCATTTTAAAAGTGAAAACATAAACTTTGACCCATTTCTACCCCATTCTACTTTAAGATCTACTCTTCCAGTGTCTCAAAGCTTCTCTCCCTCTGGCATTTGTTTTAATTTACTTATCTTATTGATGCTAAACTTATTTTCCCATCTATGGTTTTGTATTTTGCTATGTGTTTATGTATCCATAGATGATGATATGTAGTGTGTTCTTGTGTGTTCTTAAATTGTTCATATGCTGTGCCACACCAAACTTAATTTTTCCACTATCATTTTTTAAATTTTCTCTATGAGGATATATATATATATATTTTTTTTTTTGGTACCAGCGATCTAACTCAGGCAGGTGCAGTACCACTGAGCTAAAATCCTAAAAATAGGATGTATTTATACCTAGCTCATTCATTTTATCCATGCAGCAATGTTTTCCAGTGTGATTAAGAACCCAATTAACTGTATCATTCATGATTTTTGTACAACTCTGCAAGAATTAAGAAGTTTTTTAGTTTTCGAGCTTCTGCAAGAGTTATGTTAATCATCAATTCTCACATTTTGGTCTGGGAATCCTGGACTGTGCAAGATTATTAAAGGCATAAAGAAAGGAAAAATGTTTTTCTAATAATACTAAAAAATATTTTGCTACTTTCATCATCTCATTTACACTTAGATTATTTGCATAGCTCAGTGAACCAATATTTTGCAAATGTCCAGTAGATGAAGTTATAAGACTATGTGTTGGCATAAGACTAATTCAAATATAAAGATGGTTTTCAATCTTGATTTTGGTGAATAATTCTGAATGAACACGGAGTACAGATAGCTCTTCAATGTACTGATTTCAATTCCTTTGGATATATGTCCATAATGAGTTTTTTAGGTCAGTGGGTGCAAGACTTCAGGTATATAGGAGGAAGAAGTTCTGATATTCTATTGCACAGTGGAGTGACAGTGCTTAATAAAAATGTGCTTTATATTTTTATATAACTATATAAGAAGATTTTAAATGTTCTCACCACAAAGAAATGATTAATTTTGGAAGTGATAGATAACACTAATTTGTCAATCGGATCAGTCAACAATATATACATGTACTGCATTACATTATAGCTCATAAAAATATGAAATTATCTGTCAATTCAATTTTAAATGTAG